GGGGGCGGGGAGTGAGAAGTGCAGTGGGTGTGATTCTCAGACAGATGGACAGCAAGCAGCGCCCAGCGCCGTGGGACTAAAACTCTGATAACTGGTTTTGCCGGACCCAAGGCCCGTGCGAACTGGACCACTGGCCTTCACATCTTTCTCATCTGGCCAAGATGGCACGACACAGCCTTGAATAAATGCATTTTTAAGTAGTACTATATAGTCACTGACTACTCCAGTGTGTTTTAGACTTGGACTCAGGTTGTAAAGTCTTCTTTGATCTTTAAAATGTAAAGATAAACCACGTGGGTTGAGACTGAGGACTACAGAATTCCCTATTTACACTGTATCTTCACAAACAGTTTGCTTTCAAACAACTGCCACCGGGGGGCTTCCCTGGTGGCGCAGTGGTTGAGAGTCCGCCTGCCCGATGCAGGGGACACGGGTTCGTGCCTTGGTCCGCGAAGATCCCACAAGCCGCGGAGCGGTCGGAGCCTGTGCTCCGCGGTGGGAGGGGCCGCGGCAGTGAGAGGCCCGCGTACCGCAAAAAATAAACCCAAAAGAAACCTGCCACTGCTCAGGGCTGTAAAATCAGTGTCAGGAAAATGTATTTTCCACCGATTTCTGAGTCCTCGACTGTTTTCTAAGGAAGTTGTGGTTAGTATCTTGCATAAATAAACACACTTGTCATATTAAGATTTTTAACATTTAGAGGTGCTGACTGTGTGAAATGAAATGATATGAATCTAATGAAAAATTAAAGTATTTTTACTGATATTAGCAGAAATATATATCTTATGGAATATTATTTGACCTTAATACATTATTCCAGTTTTTAAAAGGGGTATTTAAGATTTAATAACTTTACAGCAGGTGGACTTTAAAGCATAACAAAATATATACAAAGAAATTAGGGGGATATTAATGTCAACTATGAAATAAATTAACATGATCTTTACAAAATATACTGACCATTAAATTAAAAAATATTTTAAGGCAGGAATTTTCATTTGAAATTAGCATAATCAGAAAATATATCAATAAAATCTTGTACCACTTTGTAGCAGAATTCATACTGTTCCTGAAAAAGAAAAACAAGAACACATTAAAATAATATGAAAAAATTTTTTGCCTAATTTAATTAGGAGAAACTTTAAAGAAAAGACATAAAAAAGTCTGACCAGTTATTGAAATACTGTATATCCTACTGCGTATCAGCTTCTGTTATATAATTTAGTTTCTAGGCACATGAACGTTTCCAAATAAACCTGTTTACCTACATAGAAAATGTCAATGTTCAGTTTCAACTTTAGCTTTTAGTGTATTTTGGACAGAGTCTGAGTGAGAGGTCTTTAGTTTTCATATTTAAACTTAAAAACAACCACTTTTGAACTGAAAAAAAATGAGCATACTTAACATCAAACTTCAGAGTGTGATGAAAATAATCTATAGAAGTTAAATAAGACAGAAATATAGATTATTTTTAAGCCTAAATTTACACTGTAAAAGGGCATTGCTTTATATCAATTTTACTAGAATTTAAAAGAAAAATGTGTTGCACGTGTATAAGGCTGTTAACTTATTGGAACACCTGGACATCATCTGACTCCTGACCTCCCAGTGGCTCTTTGAGGTGGTGAGACTAGAGCCAGATGGTGGGTTAACAGGGGACCAGAAAGCGGGTTGTGTGACACAGCCCATAACGGGCACTCAAAAGAGGAAATAAAAGAGCTGGGGAAAATGGCCACGGCAGGGCTTTCTTAGTGAGCCTACTGTGCGCCTCGGAAAACCACGCGTGCACAATGGTCAGCAGGCAGTTTCAAGTAACAACAGCTACCCTAAAAGGGTCTAGTTCCTTGCAGACCCTGGTCATTTGCTGGCCCAGTGAACATGGGAGCTGGGGAGGCAGGGGGACCAAGGGCGGCTCCTCATCCCCCTCCCTCTTCTTTCCCAACACCTTGGGTTCAGCCTCTTCTTTAAATTCCCGTTGAACAAAAATCTACAGGCTTTTGGGTCGGAAGATGCCAAACATTAGCCTGTCTGGCCGTTCTGGAGTCTCAGTCCAGCCGTCATGGGAAGGAGCTGGGCTTTCCAGGGGAAGAAAAGATGAGGCAGAAAACTGCTGTCCTGAGGTGGCAGGGAAGTTGTCAGGAGAGCCAAGAATGGACGGTAGGGGTCCTCCTTTCCAGCTACTAAGATTCCCACCCAATCACCCAGCCCCTGGAAGGGAAAGGAAAGGAAAGTGCCTGAGTCGGGATCCAGTTAGCACAGAGAATGAATGAGTGGGCCGGGCCGGGAGGGCAAGTGCTAAAATAAGAAGCCTTGGGGAAAACGACGGTTTATAAGAGCCTTTAAAACTGACCTTTGCCACTGCAGAACAATCACCAAATTTGGTGAAGAGGCAACTCTTCTGAAAACCAGAAAGTGTATGCTTTCACCATGAAATGAAAGAGAATGTGAGAAGGAACTGTGCATTGCATGGACTCCTTAAGGAAGGCCCCTGGGCAGTGTCTGGAGGCTGAGTGAGATTCAGCCAAGGAAAGAGTCCAAACGGACAGTGGAAGACAGATTACAAGAATCAGGACTGTAAACGTCAGGGCTATTTTTGAACTTGGTACATATTTAAACGCACATTGGAGTCTGGAGGAACAGTTCACTCTGACGTAACGGTTGCTATCATCTGTGCCTCTGTCCAAGGGGTCTTATCATCTGAAGTCACGTGTGTGCCCCTCCTCACGTGTCCTGCCCAGGGGACAGACCCCAGCCAGACGCAAGGGAAGAAGGGGGTCTGTAGAGCTTTACTGTGAGCTGACTGGAACCTTTAGCTCTTTTTCTTGGAAACTTTACCTCCCTCCTTCCCCGTGGACTTGAACTCCTTCAATGAAGCACACATCAAATTCAACATGAGACCATTCTCGATTCCTCTGGAAACGGTTTCTTACCAGGGTTTGCACCATATGTGGCCTCTGAAGTCGTAAACTCTTCACAGCTTGGAATACGTCTAAAAGTCCCTCAGCTTTGACCCGTTCCAGAATGTTGCTGAGTGCTATGAAAGTCCCTGTGCGCCCAGCTCCAGCACTGCAGAGAAAACATGCTGGATGAGATACTCAAACTCACCCACGGGCATGAGAATCCCACACCCTCCGCCAAGCCCTACACGTCAGTACTGGAATGATTGGAGCTTGGATTTTTAATGATCATTTAGAGGTAGCTTAGCTTTGGACTAAGAGTCAGCAAACATAAAATTCCTAAAACACTTGCCTAATTACAACATGAGTTGAATCAGGACCGGTTACAAGTTTTTAAGCTGGTGGAACCATTTCCCTTCTTCCTTGTGTAGACCAGGCCTAACAGAGGTGGGCGTGGCTGGCCTCTTCCAGGGAGCCCTCTTGGGGATGCACGGCTGCCCTCTGGGCCCTGGAATCCCACCTGTGGGCTGACTCTATGGCTGCTCTCCCTGCGTCTGCCTTCCCACAGGTGGGATGACTTTGTGTGTCTCCTTCACCTTTGCATCCCTGGTGCCCAACAAGTGTTAAGCTCAGTCTGGGTTTGCGGAGGTGGAACAAAAAGGAACTCAAAACGACATCTACAAAGGCACCAGGGACTGGAAACCGAGGCGTGTGCTCTCCCTGCTGGCCAGGCCGGAAGTGCGCCAGGCGGGTCCCAGACAAGGAAAGAGGCCCAAACCCTCCACGCTGGGTGTTATTAGCTACAAGGCGAAGTGGGTCGGTGCCAATGGCAGTCGCAAAAAATGGGAGCCACACGTGTAGACAAAGGAACAGAAGTGCAGCTTTGGAGGCAAATCAGCACCCCCAAGATTAAACTCTCCAAACGCGAGGAAGAGCTTTGCAAGGGTGGTCAAGGTCCCTGCCAGCAGGGGGGCCTGGCCCAGAAAAAAGGTGAGCTGGCACGTGTCTAGGTTCAGCTGGATTCATGCTCTACCCTCGTAATGCCGTCTTTCAAAGCCTTTGCTGGGAGCGTCCAGCTGTGTCCAGGGGTCCCCCCAGTGTGTCCCTCTGCCCTTGGGCCTAACTCGAGAGCTGGGCTGAGAGGGAGGGAGTGGAGTGGTGGGCCCTCCATTATGGACCCCAGCCTGGACATCTGTGAGAAGCTCAGGAAGAGCCTCCTGCTGTGCTGGGTGGGCGCACCAGCCAGAGTCAGACGGTCTTTCAAAACGAAGACGACTCAAGTTCAGGGTTTGTCGGAGCGGTGCTTGGCAATTTTTTTTTTTTTTTTTTTTAAACTTAAAAAACACAAAGAGGG